TATATATTTATATATATATATTATAAAAAAAAAATATATATATATATATATATATATATATATATATATATATATATATATATATATATATATATATAGAGAGAGAGAGAGAGAGAGAGAGAGAGAGAGGGTGTGTGTGTGTGTGTCAGCCAAACCTAACTCCTACTAAAGCACAAGACAATGTTTGATTATTTTATAAGTGAGGAGCCAAATCTCATTCAGCTTTTACTGAAACTATTCTGGATCAAAGTATATTGTTACAAGTAATGGTGCACAAAGATAAGAGCTTCTGCAGATGGAAGAGCGTCAATACTCATCATTGATGCTGTATAATGGTCAATGTCTCCATGAAACATTAGTAGAAGTCTTAGACATTAATTCACTAAGGGTGTATTAGCTCTTTTTTTGTCTGTCTTGTCTGTCTTTTGTGCATCGTATGTCTCATTTCCAACTCAAATTAAATGCCAGTGAAAAAAACATTCACACCCTGTCATTGTGCCTGATTCAAACAATAAACTCATGCCTCTCATCAGGTATTTCTCCACAGGCGTTAGAAAGCAGCCGTTATCAAACCACTGCAGAAAAAGAATAATCTGGACAAGTTGCAGTTGCAGGATTACAGGTCAGTCCCCAACCCTCCTTTTATCAGCAACATTACTGAAAAACTGTTTCAATAGTTGAATATATTTCTAGCAATGACCAACCGCTTTGATGTCTTTCAGTCTGGTTTCTGTGGTTACCACAGTGCTAAGATTGACCTAGTCAAAGTGTTCAATGACAACCAAATCTGCACTGTGGAAAAATCACAGTGGTGTAGCATTCAACACTGTTGACCAGGACATATTACTGAAACAATAGAGCTGTGTTGGGCTCTCTGGTCCAGGTTTTGACTGATTTGAGTCTTAGAGTGTTTTGTGCGTGCGTGCGTGCGTGCGTGCGTGTGTGGCTGCACTTACCTCGGAACTGAATACCTGGACCGCAGGTCTCCTGAGCTCCTGGAGTGTCCTGTCGGACAGACCATGGAACGAGCTGACATCTACGCCACTTGTGGGTTTTCCATCTGCCAAAGGCCATTAGTAGGAAAGAGATAACAGTAGAAGAAAAAATATATGTATTATTATTTAACCTGGCATCAAAAATCAGCATACTGATTCCTTCTTTAGCAATATAAACTGGACAAACTTGACACAAGTTGAGCAAGCTAAAATAAAATAAACTTCTAGCACATAATAGCAAATGCAAAAAAAACAATAAAAGTCCTGGCAGGGTTCCTCTTTAATGCTTCTATAATATTTAGTACTGAAGATTTGGATGAAGTTGGACTGGAACACTGAACCTGTAGAGCCACTCTGTTTGGTTCTGATTTAATCTGCACTGTCTGAGCTCACTGCACCACAATGTCAAGCATTTTATTTAATACTTGTATGTAAGGTATATGACTAAAATTAGTAACAATTACACTAAAAATATGTGGTGAGAACAAATGGAAAGAGATTTTTATGTGACTGTAGCTTCATCTTATTGGCTCCCAGTAGAGTAAAAATCAACTGTCTTCTTTGTCTTTAGATTTACTATGATATGATTTAAACAATCAAAATGTTTTCTACATTTTAAAATGACATTTACAGTGAAAAATAAACAGTATTGTATTATAGAGTTAACCCCTTTTGGGGTATAGCAGATTAAAGTTGTTCTGCAAAAACTCTGACTGGAAGAAAATATCTACTGTTGGTGAGTGAGTTAATCTGGGCACCACCACAATACTAAAGTAGGTGATTAAGTAAGTAGGTAAATCATGTCTCAGTATAAAAAGGTGTTTACAATCGTAGTCCTTCAGATCTATAGTCCTGCAGGTTTTGGATCCAAAGCTACTCCAACACACTTGAATCAAATGATTGAGTTACAGCTTCAGTAAACCATCTAATGTCTGGAAACAAGACATTCATTGAACTCAGGTGTGATAGAGCAGGGTTGCAGCAGATCTTAAAGGCTAAATTGGAGACCACTAGATAATCACAATCATGACATAAGTACTGTTGGTAAGTCAGAGAATGTACCTGTAATTATGACAGACAGATGGTGCTTCACACTCTCTTTCCTGACTCAGAATCTCAGGACAGTCCTGTCCTCCATTAGCTGGTAACTGAATGATCATCCGCTTCCTGTACTGCTTACTCTTAGTCTTTCCACCTGAAGAGAACCACTTTATGTAAACAACATACGTTCTAGCATTTTAGCTTAAGTCTTTAATAAGGGTGAAAAATGCAAAAGCTTACCATTAGCATAAAAAAAATACATAAACATAAGTAAAGCAGATTGTCTACAATCCACATTCTTCAATAGCCTCTCTGAGTTCATGTTTGGTTTTTTTTATAAATTACTTGATTTCACAGTGGAAATGAATGTACAGTGTGAATCAGGATATACAAAAATATGCAGTTCTTTTTGTAAAGGAACTGAACTGTGCTGCACTTTTAACTGACTGAGTAGTTCAGACACAATTCTCATGTTTAGTTATTTAACCATCATACCTGCCCTGGGACACCATGATTCCACAGTTCTACAGACACTTTTGGACTGTGCATCATTTTGCCTACAGGTAAAGATGTCGATGGTTGATTCAGTAACTACAAAGTGCCACCTACCTTTTGTCATGCTGTAGGAAATGGAGGCCTTTCTGTTATCTACATGTTTACTGTTTCACATCACAGCAGAGCTGTTTTTAGAAGCCTGATGGACTGAAGGGCAGCACAGCTCTTATAAACTGATTGTGGGTTAAGTGGATGGGGAGTGAGGAATGTGTAGCATTATGCTACTGTGAAACACATGTTAAGATTAGACAAAAGACAAGGTTCAGTACACGGAGGAATGTTATATTAAAAGAATGTGTTGATAAAGGGACAAGTGTTTGTTTTGCTATGATGCCTATTTGCTGGTCTACTAATAATTTACATCAACTAGAGCATGAGTTGCAGCAGTTGTTTATTAGAGTATGCTTCATTACACCTGATCAAACTCCTGCAGCATGAGCCTAAATGTGGCTCATGCTGCATCTTGTAAAGAACTTTAATGTGTGCTATAGTTACCTGTTTGACACACCAGGGGGCAGAGGCTCCAGTCACTGTATGGGGTGACAGTACAGTCTCTTTTGCAGGGAAGCAGGCACGGCCTTACAGTGTCTGGACGGAGACTCTCTGGACACCTGGAAGAGTAGAATTGCTGTGCTTAGTTCAGATACACCAAGAGCCTGTAAAAATTGGACAAATCCAACATTTACTGAATTATATAAAGCGTCACAATAAGTATCAATTAATAAAAAAAAAAAAAAATATTCTGCAAGCCAAATAGAAAACATTGATAAAACCACTGTCACATGCATAAATATGTTCTACTGTCTGATGTTTGCAGGTAGCAGTGCCCCTCAGGTTGGCAGCAGTTAGGGCTCTCAGTAAAAGCAGCTCTTCATCTTTCTATTAATGTGCAAGTGTGTCCCAAGGCAGCAGACTCAGTAAGCAGTGTGTCCTGTTCGATTTAGGAGTCAGCACAAGCATAAAAAGCCAGATGAGTTTCCATACACAGCATGGGAGCTGGGAGGGCTCACCTGAATAATGTGGCTCAGCTGCCAGAATAATGTTACTGTTGTGTTGAATAAATAAACAGATAATTCATGTTCCCAGCAGTTGCCTCCAGGAAGGGAAAGAGAGGCAGATTCTTAAAACAGTTGGCGACAAGCTCAGCAGCTCATCCGTCTATCAGCAAACAGCTACCAGATACACTAACCTTTAGACTACACAGCAAAATGAGAAATATGTAAAATATGGCAGCAAACCAAAGCTGTTCTTTCATTTAAATCGAATAAGTACTTGCATTATAAAAACATTTATTTATGAATATTTTTGTTTCATGTGCAAATAAAAGCTGAACATAAATCAAACCAGACATTAGAACTTTCAACTAACACCAGTTAGCCATAATGTCAAAGAATTCACACCCTTGGAAAACGATGAAAAATCTTGATATGCTTGATATGCATCTGCTTCTCTTTTTCTTTATTAGACTTTAAATATTACATTGTCAATTCTTAACCAAATAAAACACATGCTGTTTATCTGCTATGAAAATTGTTGAAACACTTGCATCTAAAAAGCTTTAGATGTATTTTTCCTTTTAGTCACACTTCATTGTTTCACATTGTACACAACATTCTTTTAACAATAATAAACATTTGAAAATTACTTTTTGCATGGCTCAGCTTATCTTTGTCTTATATTAAAGTGTATTTGATGATCTGAAGCATTTAAGTTTGACAAAAAATAAATCTCTAACAGAGCAAATATGTCTCTTTATACTGAAAGCTACTTATTTTGTCCATCCATCCATTATCTTACACACTTATCGCTGAGGTCATGAGGGGTGCTGATACCTATCTCCAGCGGTCAAAGGTCAAGAGGCGGGTCACCTTGAACGGGTCGCCAGTCCATCGCAGACTTATTTTGTCACCTGCTGTATTTCTTATGAATGATGAGAAATCTTACTTTTTAGGAGGAACTTGGCCCACATTGACTCGGACACAAATGACTTTGCGAGTTTGCATTCCCACTGAGCATGAGATGTCATCGCCACGCGTTCTCCCCAAAGACGTGTTAGTGTTTGGACCTGAAGAGTCCTCGATGCACTGCCCCCAGGAACCCGTTTGCCAATGATACACAGTGCATGGATGCTCATTGCAGTTCCTCATCTCTTGCAGTGCACTGACATTGGGACACTGGAGTCCTCCTGAAGTACAACAAAAACAAAGAGCAAGTAGATTTGGTTAACTACTTACAAAAATACCTGGTTTCATTCTTTTTGGCAGCATGTATACATCTGAATGTGAAGGGATGAAGAAGACAAAACCGAAGGAGACTTTAAAGCTTACTTGTATTGATTTTACTCTAATTTGTCATTGCGCAGAAATAAGTGTAAAGAACTATAGATACATATACATTTAGCATGCACCCCTTCCGTGATCTTGGTCTGCTTTTATTAATATTAATTCATTTGTCATCTTAAGCTTTTTGGATTTCACAGGTAGATAAAGAAAATTGTCTTTGATGCCAAATTATGGTCATAACCTAAGACATTGTTTTGAAAGTTTGTTCTAAAAATCTTACAACATATTTCAACATAAGTATCTTTGTTTTTTTAAGTGTTAATTTTACAGACAATGGCTGTGTTATCCCTCCAGATTTGAATGACTGCTTATTATGAAAGTAATTCATTCTGGATATTTATTCCACAGTTTACATTAAATGTTTCTTCTTCAAACCTCCTCCTGTGCAAAATTATGTCACATTTCAAATGATTTGAAACTCTGGTGAAAATAAGATGACAGTTCAGACTTTGCTCACTTTGAATACCAAAAATGTAAAATGGTTCATTCATTTTTAAAATTCATTTCATTCTTTGTGTTAAATTGGTTTCTGTAGTTATTTTTTTAGCACTCTTCAGTTTATTTTGATTCATTCTTTTAGATGAGTTAATCATTTTCACCTTGGTTTGCAGTTTCTTTGAGTCTAGTTCAGTTCTCTCTGGTAATAAATCTCCTTCTCTCAGTCTCTCTGCTCTCTTCCAAAGATGTTCAGCATTTTCCCTGCTTGTGATCATTTGACTTTAAGGTCATTATGACACAATCAAGTAACTATGTTGCTTTCAATTGTCATAAAAATTCTGTATATATCATATATGACTTAGAAATTTGAAGCCTTGAAGCTGACCTTTGTTTCTTTAAGAAGCTCCTTCCCTTTCTGATCTGCTACCTTCAGCATATTACCACAACAATGCTCTTCCATTATCCTGTTTACAACCATTCTGTGGAGCTTTGGAATAAGAAATAGTTGACACTCAGTGTTGCTTTAGAGACGTTATATCACAGACCCCAGAAACCCAAAGAATTAGTAGATGTGGAGATTTCATTGGTGATCAGCTGCGTTCACCTGTTAGTTCTGGATTTGAAGTGCGTGAAAAGGACTGAAAGGATAATATTTCTACAAGAAAAGGGAATCTATTGTGGCAGCAGACAGCAAAAAAATACTCTATACTCTATAGCTAAAACATCAACAAAAATCACATCTGGTGCCTAAAAACATCAAATATAAATATACCAAATACTGGCTGGACCAGCGACAGTAGCGAAGGACCTTGAACAAAAGAAAAGAAATCTGTGTATATTCAAAGCACACCATCTCTTTTTTTCTACAGCCATAAGGTAAGTTCTAGGAAAAGTAAATTCTTACCCTGCATCACAGAAACCCATGCCACAACTTTAGCAGTCACTATATAATGAGACACAAGAAACAATTTATGCACAGAGACACAGTTATGTGCATAAAGTGGACTATCAGCTCTCTATACGATCTGAATGTAGTGGTATAGAAATATACATAATTCTACACAAATAGTTTCCAGGTGAGAAGTTCTGGTTGTTAAAGTGGGCGTGGTATACAAGGACCAGCTGCGTTCAGTCAGACATGTCTTCTTTGTGCTCCTACTGTGTGGCTCGCGTCCTGTGGGTTCTGGCAGCGAAAGGCAACAAATCGCCAACTGGTGCATGCTGCTCTGATTTCCTGGTAGTAGGTGTTCTCTCTCCCTGCACTCTAGCTGATCTTTGTCAGAACATCTAAATTGAAGTGTGATCGTAGGTAAACCGCCACTGTGCTGCTCTCTTCCTCGTCCTACGAGTGTGTGTGCGTGTTTGTGTTGAACGGCAGGTAAGAAATTAACACTCATTGTAAGCTCCAGTTTGTTGCAATTTTATTTCAAATGGTGACTAATTAACTTTCATAGGTCTCCCCCATAGTTGGACCATTGCTGCTCTGTCTGCTTTCGTCTCCTGGATTTCTGCCTCTTTCGTCTCCTTGATTTCTGTAGTGTCATTTGTTTTTTTTAAAGTCGGACTGTGGTGGCGTTCAGCCGCCTCCATTAAGCGGTGTGTGGCATCGGCTTGCCCATTTCGCCTCCTGCTGTGGCGTGGCAAAGAGGGCCACGCCTGGTTCTGATGTTTTTAATTTGTATTTTCTATTGTTAATAAGTTTCTATTTCTTTACTTATTTTGTTTACAGCCCTTTTTGTTCTTAGTTGTTTATTTAGCCAGACTGATATTGTTTTTTTTATTAGGTTTAAGGTTGTTATACTGGTTAACTGTTTTCTTTGTTTTGCAGCTGCTGAGGTCCGGTGGCAGTGTTGGTGTGACTTGAGTTTGGTTTGTCTCGCTGCGTCTGGTGTTTAAGAGTTTATTTTTTTTGTTTGTTTTCTGTGTCTTGTGGATGCCGTCCCCATAATGCCCCCTCTTGCCGGTAACCTCAGCTACTGCAACTCCTTTGTTTTCCTTTGCTTTTCTTTTGGTTTCCTTTGTGTTTTATTTATAAAGAACTGGTTTTAAAATGAACATTTTCAAAAGAATTTAATGGTTTTTGTAAATCTGAAACTGTCTCAGATGTCTCAATCATCGCATAACTGAACCTGTGTGCCTTAAACAAAAGGTAATATTCCCTGGGTGAAATTCCCAGGGTGACGTTGTTGAGCAACTTATTAAAACTAAAATTCCACAAAATCTGAGTTTCATCTAGTGTCGCCACATAACAAAATGCCTAAAGAAATCCAAAAAATGTTGACCATTCCAGAAATTAGAATAGAGAAATGAAAAAAAGAATACAATTAATGCTTATTTTGATTATTTATGGGCTGTTGATTTTGGTGCACTATTAGGCCAAAAGAAATTTGGACTTTGTTTATGTACTATGAAACAGCTTGTGGTTTTAAACCAACCAACTGTGTAAGTAGATACACATTATTATTATTATTTTGGCGTCGGTCTCTGTGACACCAAAATACACAGATGCTATCAGGTTAGGTTCCAGTGATCCCATTAGACCTCTTTAAGTTTCCGTGTTCACTGTTCTTACTGCAGGAAGTTTGTTGTTTGTACTCACTTCTGCTGAATAGTAACAGTAACTTTTATAACTTGAGTTGAGTAGATCCAAAAGTGAACAATTTGATGTTCTAACTCATTTACTCTTAAGTACTCTTAAGTGCCTGTCATTTATTTTGACTATTTTTGTTTTGAACAGTATTTTTATTTTGTTTAGTCCAACATAATCAATGGTTTAAGCTGCAACATACTAAATAAAATGGATATTACATATTTGAGCTACCTTTCCATCATTATGTTGGGTTCTTTAAACTCTTATCATGTAATTAAACTAAAATAGTTTGCATTTCAAAACTTCAATTTGTACAATCGGTTTCCCCAAATCATTTCAGTAACTTATTGGGTTTTACAGTGATGGAGGCCTGTCTTAATTCTGCTATGGAGGTCTGAGGAATTCCCACCTTCTCCTGCGTTATGAGCAAGTATAGAACGCACTCGGGTCTGCTTCCCCTCTGTGTTTTTTCCAGAGCAGGTATGGGAGCAAAATGACCAGGGAGTCCAAGGGCTTAGAGCGCAGTCCTTGGAGCAAGGCACCTCACAGATGGTAGGCATTGGAAGGATGGCATCCCGGCAAAGCTGTTTCTCCACTTTTTCACCTGGATGAGAAGACACAAGCATGTTTTAGATATTACAAAGAGAATTCTCCACTTCAGATATTCTCCCATCATTCTCCACTAATGATGGGAAATTAGTGGAGATTGTAAGCCCCAGGAGTATGCTGGATGGCTGACAGTATCCGATCAGTTTAATCTTTTCATTTTGGAACAAATAAAAAAAGTGCTAATGGACTGTTATTGTAACATGGAGAGTTCTAAGCAAAAGCTACAAAGTTTTTTTGTTTGTTTTTTTTATGTTGTACTGCAAAAAATGGAGAGGAAATTGTTGTTCTTGGCTGCTTGCTCAAGAATAAGAGTTTTGATTTGATTGAAGAACTCATTTAACGTGAAAAAGATTTGATGTCTTACATACCATCAAATGGTAGTTACTTGCAGTGTCAGCTAGGATTGGTAGATATCTTAGAAATGGCACACAAGAAATGGCAGACTATCCCAGTCAGATGTAATTTTCTATTTCCATAGTTAAAGGAGGTACTTTTTTGGTTATTGTACATCTGATAACACAGGATGAAAAATGGGATTTTCGGCAGCTATTGACACTTTGTTCTGCCGTGCACATGGAGATTGAGGGCTTTCGGCAAGAGGTTTTTGTCAGTCGAGCACTGCCAAAAATGGTCAAAAATGCTGTGTGTCCGTGTTCCCCTATCACTCCCCTCCCCTTGTGCCTAGCAGATGTTTTCGTATTTAAATGAAGATGCTGAGTGCCATGCACATGCAAATCAACTGTTGAGCACCGCCTTTTGACTCTTATTTATCTTGTAGCTAACCCGTTTTACCTTCTGTTCCATGTTTGGAGAAAGAATATTAAAACAATCTATCTTATCCATTAAAATATACATTGCATGTGTGTTAGGAGCACTGAAAAACTTAGTTTTGGTTGAATTGATGATATAAAAGAAGAATATGCATGATTACATACAATAGACTTTTGTGAAACGTGATCTTACTTTGACATTCCTCCTATCTGAAGATTTATCTTGTGATGGGAGGAATTGCACAACTTAATCAAAAATAATAAAAAACATGTTCCAGAGTGGTTCATTGTACATAAAGTATTTTTGTGAATAATATTCAAACTAATGTTAATGTTCACTGATTGCTTTAGAGACCCAGAGTCATGCTATGTTGGAGTGATAGTGACACAGTTCCACATCACAATACAGGACTTAAGAAACTACAGATGATTTATCAGTATTCAGTTGCTTAACTCTCAAGTTTAAATTGAAGAACAAAATGGTTGAAAGTATGTGATAGGGTATAAACATTTGTATTTTTTTTTTAAGTTTTGTTAGTTAAGCACTAAATATAACTCACGGATTATGAATCATATTCTGTATAAACTAAAAAGGAGACAGCTCAAAGTAGAATTGAGTAAATAAACATCTATACATTTAAAAACATTTGAGGAATTAATTATAATAAAAATAAAATATACTGTCACGTAACTTTTGAAAAAATAACTTTTAGAATGTTTTTTTTCTTCAGTCAACTTTCATTTAACACTCCAGTCCAGTTGGTGGCAGTAATGCGCTTTCATAGTCGGTCAAGTAGCCGCCATTAAACTCCAAAGGAAGATTTGCACCCACGCTAACGGGTGCTACTGCGAGACCCAACATGAATGAAAATGCCCGTGCGTTGTGTGAAATGGTGGAAAAAGTCCTATTTCACGGAGTTACCTTTTCAGTATCGTTTTGATATTAAGCAATGTTCCGGCGGAAAACAACAGATGACACCGCGGCGGTCCAACAGGCCGAACTCACGGTAAGAAAGCTTTTATGAATAGCGAGCACGTGCAAGCGAGGCGAGTTGCTTTGTTTGTTTTTTACAGAAAGCGGTCTCTTGTTTTTTTATGCCGAAATAAGTGTAGGGTGAGATTTTGTATTGTATTTTTTATTACATGTGATGTTCTGAACTCTTAAAAATACTCGCATCTTCTTTTATTTTTTTCAGACCTGAAAAATGGCCAGGCCTAAACAGCCAGGCCTCAGACCACGGTGCCGAGGCGCTCTGGGAGTCCACCTGGACGAAGATAAATTCAGTAAGTTATAATTTCACATTTAGTCAATAATGAACACTCGCATATTTGTAAGGAAAACTGAACTTCCCGTTATTTTATTTAATTTGTTATAACGCAGTACAGCAAGGCAGACTGTGGAAAGCAGTAGAGATCGACAACATGGCGGACGGAGGACGGATTTGAGGAGTCATGAAGCCGGTATGTATTATGTATAATCACTGCGTTGATTCCCGACTGTATAATGGTTGGTTGAGAATAATTTTAACTCATTTACTTATGTATTTTTGAGAAAACGATATATTTGCTACAATATATTTTTTTTATTTTACATTTATTTCCACAGACTCCACACAATGGGAGTCACATTTGTGTCAATCAGACTCTTCAGGAACGTCCTGATGTCCGTGACGAGGACAGAGATGCA